CCGGATTCAATGCATGAAACACACGTATTTAATTTCAGAAGACACTAAACATGCACAATTTGTAAACACTTTTTCCTAAAATTCAAGACTTATCAACATAAAAACAATATCCCTAAATCAATTTATTGATTTTTTGAAGTGGATCATGTGAGAACAAGATGCTTATCAAATAGATATTTAACAAAAAAATCTATTTGTATATGTGGGTGTGGGTCTCTATGTATACATACTTTAGACTTCAAAATACTATATGACTAAATTAAACCATTTATTAGTCTAAAAGTAACAAACTAATTAAGAAAATATATTACTTTTATCGATTTATAATAAAAAAGAACAAAGTTTATACCTATTTTGTTCTTAATACTTTTGAGTTTGGTTGGTTTTAGCTTATGAAATTTCAAAATATTCATTTCGATCCCTATATTTTCAATTTTTTTTTCATTTTAATCTTTCTGTACTCGAAATAACGTATACTTTCAATCATTGTACTTCTAAAAAGTGATCGATTTATTATTTATTTACAAAATTTTAACATAAATTATTATAGCTACATTTCAATAAATTAAGTGAATGAAGTGTGTGATGTTAAAATTATGATCGAAAAAATGAGATAAAAATGAAAAATGAAGGGACCAAAATAATCTCTAAGTACCTGGACCAAAATGATACTTCGAGAGTACATGGACCAAAATAGTATTTAAACCAAAATTAACTATCATCATACATGAAGACGGAGATTGAATTTTCATCCCTATTATTGAAATTAATTATTAAAACAATCTTGATAAGATTATTAAATTTATTACAATAAATCAAGAGTTTTTTGCTTTATTTTCCTTTTTGCAATTTGTGACAAAAAGGGGGGAAAAAGCAAGTTAGGTAGATGCATAGTGCTCATTGCTTGCTAATTTTGTGACCATGCATTTGGATGATGTTGTTTCTTCCAAATCTTTGCCTCTCAAATGCTCTGTGGAATTGAATTTCAAAATAAACTTGAAATGTCAAATGAGTTTCCCGACACTATGTGTTGTAGGGTCAAATGGTTGTTCCGTAAGATTAGTCGATCAAGGTGTGCTGGCCCAGACACTCAAGAATATTAAAAAAAATGTCAAATGAGTTTGACAAATAAGAAATTATGCAACCTATACTCTACTCTTTAATAGTTTGAAATTTTTAAAGAGTGAAACATCGCTTTAAAAATGAGATGTAATTGATGTGAATAGTGATTTCACATATTTAAAATGAGTTCTTAATTTTTGAGTTCGACTTAAAAATAATGGAGCAACCAACATGCTTATATCCCAGTCAATTATTGTATTGGGTTCGTGGAGCGTTGCCTAATCATCAAGTAAACTTTTAATGTTTTTTTTTTCAAAATTTTAACGTTTCCTTTACTATGTACATATTGCATCATAACAACAATTTTAAGATTCCTCTTCACTTATAAGTAATATCGATTCTTTCGTTTTTATATTTGCCTAAAGACTTGTTAAAGAGTCGCTCCTTATCCATGTTTCCTTTGTTGCACGATAGAGTAGAGGTTGTTTGTGCAACGAAATTCGAATTGGTTAAACTTGCCAAAGTATGACAAGGAGAATAGCTTGAGCGCTCGCACGATGAATGAGCTACTAAGTAAGCTCAGATTTAATATAGAGTTCATGATAGAATACGATACCTGAGATGGAAATGAGACCCTCTATTTATAGATTGAGGGTCAGACATACAGTTATGTGTATCAGTCTGAAGATCGGACATGTCAGATGCCTAAGCTCGAACCCGGATGATGGTCACGCCACTGGGAGGCATCTCTGTAATGTTCTGTGACTAATCTTTTATTTAAATATTATTATTAAAATAAAATAAAGTTGTTAGTATCAAGCATTATGGAAACTTTTAAAATGTTAAAGCAAGAAATGAAAATTTTAGGTGTAATTTAGCCGGAAACACGTGTCACGCACCCGCAAAGTTTTTGATATCCTCACAGTGCATCTCTGTGGAATCGGAAATCACAGCCACACAATCGTCGACGCGTGGTTGTCATTCATCACCAACCTGTCATTCCAGCTGTACATATCATCATGCTGATACATACATCCATCATCAAAATCACATGCATCCCATAGACCACTTAAAAAATAAAAAATGTAACTGCGAGAATTGCGAGAAATCAAGAAAAACAATATTTTCCCTTTAATTTTATTTTTATTAAATCATATAAATAATTAATTTCTGACTTTTATATATATATATAAAAATTATAATTTAAAAGTTACTCCAAACCTGACTCAAAAATTGAAATAAATAGGCCTAGCAATGTGTACTATTCCTAAATGAAAAAAAAAATAGGGGAGGGACATTATTCCTACGCGCTTGAGAAATCTCAGCATGTACAGTCATCATTGTCAAATCATGTGAAACTCTGTTGCAAGAGTGAGGGCAGTGGGAGAAACTAACAAATTTCAGGAAATGAGTAAGATCGACCATCTCTTTCACAATTGCTCCAAATTATCTGGGTGTGAGTCCTTAATTTTCATGACCACTAAAAGAGAATCAGAATCCACCTCCAAATTCAAGAATCCAATCTCAATCGCTTCTGTCAAGCAATCTCGAATAGCTGTCACCTCTGTATCGTTGAGTCATACACACACCCAACTTCTTTCACGAAAGTAAGCATAATTTTCATAACCATGAGTTAAAGACTAATTATACTAAAGACTTATAAACAAATTATTAATGTCTTTGCCATGTAAATTATGCTTAAACTAAGGGTTCGTTTGGTGATAACATTCATATTTCTTGTTTCTCGTTTCATGTTTTTGTTTATCATTTACTATTTTTTAATAAACAAAAACAGAACTGTTTGGTAGCTATTTTTTTGTTTCTTATTTTATTGAAAAATAAAACATAAATATTTTGGTTTTCTTGTTCTTTAAAATTTTAAATTGAAAAAAATATTTTTTAAATTAAATATCCAAAATTTTTATGTTATATTTAACTTTTACTATTTTTTACGCATTTGTAAGCCTAGAATAATAAAGTAATACTTTCAAAAAACAAAAACCTTCATTTTGTTATTTCTAAAATTTTTACACAATTTTGAAAACATTTAATTACCAAAATCTTATATTTTTCAAAAATTAAAAACGAGACGTAAGAAATAAGTAATAAGAAAGTTTTTGTTTTTTGAAAGTATTACACAATTTTGAAAACATTTAATTACCAAAATCTTATATTTTTCAAAAATTAAAAACGAGACGTAAGAAATAAGTAATAAGAACGTTACTAAACGTACTCTAATGGAGAATAATCAATACTATTTAAGATAAAAAAAACGATCGTCCTGTTTGAAAGGTGTTAGAGAACATGAATTGATTGTCTAGAACCTTTGGGGAAAAAAAAAACAATTGTGTTGGGTTATGAATGTTACCAAATTGTTAGGTTAAAATTTCCTTTAGCCATTCAATTAAGGAAAGTGAGGCATAATGAATGCCCTGAGTTTGCTTAACCCTATTTGGGTTCAAGCAATTAGCATATTACAACTTCTTAATGTCGTGTACTAGCATCGTACTTAATCGAGTTGGCGTGATTTGACTACACGTAAGTATCGATGTACCTGAGTTGGTTAAAATAAATTAGAGCATCATATTACAAAAGTAGTGCTTGAAAACTTAATTTAAAAAAGCAGAAAACTAAAACACAAAAATAGTTATCTGACGTAGCTTTTGTCCCTTTTGGGATCTGGGATCACGTAGTGACAAAGACGTGGAACCTTGTGGTACCATCCAAGATTTTAAGTGTTGATGCCGATCAAAATGTCGAGGTCTCAATTTCATAGAAATATCGATAAAATGTTGATGTCGATGGATATTTCTGTAAAAGCTAGAGAAATTAAAAAATCGTAAAAAACATTTAAATTAACAAATAAACATTTTCAATTTCTAAATAAGTTTAAATAGTTAATATTATATATGTGTGTGCGCGTGCGACATTTTAGTGATATTTTCATATTTTATCAATAGTATGGAAATATCGATTTATTTCTCATATCGATGCCGGACTCATAGATACATGAAAATGTAGATTGAAATATTGACGTGTCACCACATATTTAATACCATAGTATCACCTACCATGAGATCTTCTATTAAAATACTACCCTGGTCGCCGTGTTACTCCACACAACATGGATTTTAGAAAAAATAGAAAAAGAAAAAGTTATTCAACAAAGTTTTGGCAACCAAATTTTTTTTTCAATTTTATTTGTCGGTACTAAAGATAATAGATTAAAATATTATTTTGGTATTTATACTTTACTTATTATATTTTAATATATTTGCTTTCAAACGTTAAAATTTAGTTCATATAGTTTCCGTTAATTTTAAAACTAGTTTCTACCATTATTTTATGCTATTTTAACCAAACTCAAAAAAAAAAAAAATCACATTCCATCAAGTATTGATATCTTTATTCGAACAAAAATGGTTCAAATATATTTATTTATCTATTGACTTAATAACCAAAAAAAAATAATAATAATAAAAGAAATCATATTTTAATTTATTATTATTATTGTTGTTGTTATTTTTTAATCTCTTGGCTTAGCAGGTGGGCTCAGCTTTATAAGCAGCCACTTTGTTTCTATTTCCCTACGCGTTTGGCGAAGAAATCAAAAGTTTTCAAACGAAGAACCGCCGAATCCAGATTGAAAAATCGAAATGACTCCCTTTTCTTACGAATCCCAATCTCAGATTTCTCCCGGAACCCCCATTGGAGGTGACCCAGAAGCTCAAATCTTCAATTTCCAATCCGAATTCAGCTCGGAAGACGATCGTGACGAGTCGGAGAAGGCGACGGAGTGGAAGAACGCGACGGCGACGAAGAAGAAGAACCAGATCTTGCTTGAAGGCTTCGTGGAGGCCGCCGATGAGGAGAATTTGGCGAGGACGAAGAGCTTGACGGATGACGATCTCGAGGAGCTTAAGGGCTGTGTGGATCTAGGTTTCGCGTTTTGCTACGATGAGATTCCCGAGCTCTGCAACACCTTGCCGGCGCTCGAGCTCTGCTACTCGATGAGCCAGAAGTTTATGGATGATCACCAGAAGGTTCCGGAAAATTCTCCGCCGGAGTCGGCGGATTCCCCTTCGAGTCCGATTCCGAACTGGAAGATCTCTAGCCCTGGTGAGCGATTTTGAAAAGAATCTTGATGTTTATGTTCGGAATTTGAAAAGAATTGCTATGGGGCTGATGATTCGGCTTGAATATGATTGAATTTTGCTTAACATTGAGTTTTGAATTTGTTGTTATGTGTTCAGGTGATCATCCGGAGGATGTTAAAGCGAGGCTCAAGTACTGGGCACAAGCGGTGGCTTGTACTGTCAGATTATGCAACTGAAGGAGTCTGCAAAGTTAAAAGACTGTTGTGAATGAACCATTTTTCAAGATTATTAAAGAAGATGACATGGATCTTCTTCTTCAGCTTGTGCTTTGCAATCAAAACCATCTCCATAAAACTTTCCATTTGTAGCCTGAGATGGGTTTTATGAGACAGTCTCTGTTTGGTCTGATTTTGATGATGGAAGAAGAAAAAAGAAGAAGGAGAAGAAGAATGTCTCAGGTTTGAGATCAACCAATGATCCATTTGACTTATGATTCTGATTCAATTCTTTGGAGGATAAGATATTAACAAATTGTAATAAGTAGAACATTGAGAAAGCATTGTTTCTCTCAAAATTTGGTTGGGTATTGCTGATTATAATTGCTGCTTTGTTAATTTGGTGTTTTTTTTGCAATTCCAATCTTAGTTAGTTTAGTGTGGCTTTTATGCAGTGGTGAGAAGCCCCATCAAAGCTTCACCAACAACCTTTTGCTTCACACCTCTGCACATGCTGAGGTAACTAACCCAACTGAAAAGAATGCCATGATGGTTCTTTTGATGTTCCATTTTTTGGTCTTGTTTTCATAATTATCTTTTTGTGGCTTCCTGAGTGCTAACCAATGCTAGATTGTGCTAACTATTTCTGTTCAGTCCACACATGGCTGGATGAATACCCGTTTGCTCGATGTCGCTGGGAGAGGCGGTGGAGAACTGCCTGCTTCTTCTTGGTTTATGATTCGCGTACATTGTGAACTTGAGGATCTGTTTACTGGTTTTGTATTGTGAATCATGGTTTCTTGTAATGACATGACTAGAAAACGAAGGATCGGTTGATCCTTCTGACTTGTGTTTCCCCTCATTCGGTTGGTTCTTACTTTTGTGGCTTTGTGAGTGCTAACTATTCTGTTTAGTTCCACACAAATGGCTGCCCAATGTTGCTGGGAGAGGTAGGGGAGAAGAAGAACTGCCTGCTTCGTCTTGATCTATCATCGGTTTGCATCTTTAACTTGGAAGTGTTTTCTGGTTCTGTATTGTGAATGATCATTTCTTGTAATGACACGACTAGCAGACAATTAATCAATCTGTTTTTACTTCTGTTCCCTTTGTTCGGTTGGTTCTTAATTGTGCTAACTATCTCTGTTCAGCCACACATACGGCTGGACGAATGCCCGTTTACCCGACAATACCGTGATTGGGGATAACTGCTTTTTACCCATTTGCCTGATGCTTTCTGGTTTTGTCTTGTGAATGATGGATTCCTTTAACTGGAGTACGAACGATCCATCAATCGCCCGTTTTTATTGTTATGTAGATAGAACAGAGCTTATTCTGAGTTGTATACTAACATACTGATCATTTGGGGCGGGGCGGGACGGGACGGTGTGAAGTAAGCTTGAGATGCACAACTATGGCAGGTAAAGGATGGCATCATTTTTCTCATAGAGTCCATAGTTGTTTGTTAGGAAATCCATGTATTCTGGTAAAAGAAAGAAATTCTATTTGATAGCTTCTTCTGCAAAATAGTTTTTAGAAACCTTTTAAGATTTGTAAATGTTGAGGTTATTTTGCAACTTGTTCATGAAGTTCTGAATTTGAAGATGAAATAACTTTAGAAATTTCTAGTGGATAATTTTTGTTTCTTTTAATTTATTTTTTCTCCAGTGATATAAAATTATGGTATTTTTAGCTGATAAACTAGTAAATTAAATAAATTGACTATATGTAAATCACCAATTTGCTTTTAGTTCATTATTGTAATTGGACTATTTTTTCTTTTGTTGAAAATTTTTGAAGTCATTCTTGCACCTCAGCCTGAAAAATATTTTCATTGTTATTGGGATTTGAACCGTCAACCTCAAAGAAATGAGTAGATGTTTTTGTCAAACTATACTCATGTGGGAAAAGTCGATCATTTTTGTAGTTGAGCATTTTTAATACAACAAACGTGGAGTGAGAAATCGTTGAGATATTCTTGCAAACGGGTATTTTGAAAGAAACTTCCAAGAAGTTACTTATGGGATAGGTGTTAGAAAATTGTAGTCAAACATTGCAAAAACAAAATTCTTGTTTTTGACATAGAAAAAATAATTATGTTTTGATGTGTTTTGCATAAAGTGATGTGTTTTGCATGAAGTGATGGGGAATAATTCTTTGGATAATTCTCTTCCAAGGTTTAAAAATGGCCAAGAAATTGAAACAAGTTGCTTCCACTCAAAGAATTTAAATTTTGGGTGAGATCATTTCTATTAAGAACTAGACAATCTTATCCCGAATGAGAAATAGGATGTTGGAAAAAATTTGATGACCCGAACAACCTGATCAACTCAACTCAGTTCATACGATTTATGTTGACTTGTTTGGATTAGGTTGGTTTTAAATAAATGAAAACTCTATGAGTTAAATTGGTTTAAAGGTTCACCCAGAATAAAATTTTGGTTTATATTTTACAACATTATTTTTATCAAAAGATAGAAAAAAGGCCGGTTAGGGCTAGCTAATATTGTTTGGGTTGCAACTCGATAATGCTCGTTGGACTTCTACGACTCCTTGGAATATAATCACAAATAACTTGTCACGTTGGATTTATGTTATTTCTTCCTTATAACATTTATGTTATTTCTTCCTTATAGCAGGAATGCCTAATAAACTTTAATGAAAAGATAACGATGATAATGAAACATTCTAAAATATACGGACTAGACTGAAGCTAATGTTAACACATACAGACTAAGAATATAATTTAGGTCACTTGAACTATGCTCGGTTTGGTCGGAAAAAAAAAGACAACACGTTAATACACATAATCAAAGTCACGTCATCTATTTATTAAACTGCCATGGACAAAATATTGATGAAGGGATTTTAATTTTAATTTTTTTTAAGAGACTAAAATAGACTTTTTTTTTTCCCTTTTTCCATATGTATTTATTTTTTCTCTCTCCGATATATATTCTCTTATTAATATTGTGGTATCTCTTATTAGCTTTTCACTATGATCTACTAAAAAGCAAAAAAAAAATCACTAGACATCCATCTTTTGTTACTATTCTTTGAACACTCTCTTATTGTTATTTTTTTGGTAATTTTAATTATTTCCTTTATATTAGTTTGTCTATTCTAAAGGATTTGTAAAAGTAAATATTAATTATACAAGAAAAGAAAGGAAAAACTAAAAATTTACCATATATAATTTACCATATGGGGTGGGAATTGTACAAATTATTTGATATATAAATTATTAAATAAATGAAATTAAACCAAAAAAAGTTTATTGGGGTGAGAGAGGCTCAAACTCTCAACCTCAGGATATCTCTTTTAAGCTACGAGACCTATGCGCTAGCCAACTGCACCACCACCCCATGTTATTTAATTATAAATTGTTTACTATATATTTTATCTAAATATATTTTTTTAATTATTCTTTTCATTTTAGTATATGAATTAATTAAATCACTTTATTATTGTCATTTATCTTAAACGCTCAAAACTTAGGTCTAATTGACATATAAAAAATTAGAATGTTATTCGTTTGATATTGTTTATAGAAACTTTTATGGAATCATAATCATAAATTATTTGATGTTGTTTACCAAAATTGTGTAGAATCGGAATATAATAATTACTAGTATACTTCATTCTTATTTTTACCTAATTAAAAAATATTGTTGTGCTAATATTTTTTTAATTAAAATAATAAAAATTTTAAATTTATTTTATTAATATTTTTTTTATAGGAAATATTTTTTGTTACAACAAATTATTTAATATTAACAAATAATGAAAAATTACATCTACTAAAAGAATGTTTTATTAAAACAATTATTATTCATATAAAATATCATTAAATATTACTGTTCTAATATTTAATAATAAAGAATTCTATTTCAACAACTTATTAATATGAACTAATAATAACAAAGTAAAATTAAAAAATTAAACAAAATTTGTAAAATTTTCCAATAAAATCACGTCAACTAGGAATACAAATTATTAGTAATATAGATAAACAAAGAAATAATAAAAATCTAAAATAATTAATTAAAAAGTTGTGAGTCTTAGACTATCATTAATAGAGGGAAGAAAAAAAAAGTAATTATTTAAAAAAATGTGGGACCACGAAATAAGGAACATGAATGAAATTGATCTAAGTTGTAAGAGAGCGCTGAGATTACCTTTTGGGAGGAGGGATTCCGAAATTTGAGATGAGTCACTAATTAATTTAATTAATTACTACAATTTAGTAAAGACCATCAAATAAATGGAAAATCTCGTCAAAGCGAGTAGAACTTATTGGTAATTGATATATATCTTCAAACAAGAAATTGTGAGTTCGATCACCCATTCCACATTCTGAATTCTAAGTAAACCGGGTCTTGATGCAATTTTGAAAATCTACCTATGTTCACATTATTGCATTAATTTAATTTGTAATAATAAGTAAACCATTTTAGTTATTTAATTTTAATAGACATGTTTATTTAGTCTTTAGTTAGAAAAGAAAATCAATTACTTTGAATTTGGATTCCATTAGTCTCTAGCTATTAACATTGTTAATAAAAGCCTAAATAGATAATTGGAATAATTATATTTTAGTCCATGAATTTTAATAAATAGGTCACTTTAGTTTCTGAATTTTTAAAAGTTAACGTTCTATTCTCTCAATGTTAGGGTAGACGGTCATTTTGATTGTTAACCTTACTTTTTTTTTCTTTTATTGTTAACTAGATATTTATTTATTTATTAATAATATCGATATATTAATAATTAGTTTAGTCACTCCACTTCGTTGATATTCTTTCACCAAAAGCAAGAATCGCTCATTTTGGTCGATGACCTTCCAAGTTTTTACTTGAAGGAGTGCTATTGACCTAGTGAATATCGTATATAAGGGTTAAAGAATGAATTTTTTTAATAGTATTTTAAAAGTTAAATTACCTTTGTTGTCCTTTCTTCAATATTTATAAAAAATAAAATAAAATAATAAAGAATGAATTTTTTTAATAGTATTTTAAAAGTTAAATTACCTTTGTTGTCCTTTCTTCAATATTTATAAAAAATAAAATAAAATAAAAAGAATTGTGGTGAGAGAGGCTCGAACTTTCAACCTCAAGATTTCTCTTTAAAGCTACGAGACTAGGCGCTAGCCAACTGCACCACCACCCCATTGCTGTTTGCAATTTTATTATTAGTTTATTCCTAATTTTATATTTGTATTGTTAAAGCATTAATTTTTTATTTTATTATTATTATTATTGTTTTCATTTTTAGTTTTAGTTTGTGAATTAATTAAATTCACTTTGTAAATGACATTTATCTCAACGCCCCTGTATTTACAACGTTTTTTAAATATTTAACACCCAATTTTTATGAAATATTAGACCTTGAGTTTTGATTTGATTTGATTTGTTGAATTAATATTAAATTTCCTTTACATTAGAACTTTAAAATTTTATTTAATTTAGACTTTATGACGTGTCCATAATTATAATTTTTATGTTATTTAATTTTGTTTTTTTTAATATATTTCTAGCATGATATCTTTTTAAAATATCCAATTATACAAGATTAGCTACAATCTTGTAGATGAAGTAAAGGTACCTTAATCATTCGGTTATGTTCATCTTCGCCATAACTATTGTGGGGTGATTTCTCACCAACCACGTGTAAACATGTAATATGTTGAACAGTGATGAGTTAGCATGATGATTCACACATGATAGGAATTGTAATTCGGACTTCTATAGGAGGTCGAGCCGAACTATTGGTGACAGTCGCAATTCATGTTCCATGCGAGCTGACCTAAGCCTCACATTTTGGTCATTGAGTTAGCAGCTGAGCCGATCAAAGGATACTTATGCAGGCATGAAATTCTTACACCATCTATGATAACATGCCGCGATTCTTAGGCTGTCGGAGAGCCATTGAAGGCTTGTTGGAAGCTGCGCCTATAAATAGAAACCTTCAACCTCATTTTCAGGTACACGAAACTATATTATCCTCTCGAATATAGATTGACCAACTACTAATTTGAACGTCAGAGTGCTTGCATGTCCTCTACTTGCTAATACCTTAGCTCGTCCGATAGTCAGTCGGGGCATAATTGAGCTTCGTAGACTTGGTCAAATTCTTGATCAAACAACTCTTTATTTTGTTATTATATTATTCATGTATTTTTCCTTATTAAATTTCAATGGTCTATTTATTAGGATTAGTTACATAGTTAGTTATTATTTTGTAACTAAACATTCTGCAATATTGCTCTATTCTGTGACCTATATATATGGTCCACTTACTTTCATTAATGTTAAGGCAAATATTTACTCTCAAATGTAATATGGGATCAGAGATTATACTTGTGATTTTTCTGAGGATTTCCATTTGGCGATTTTCCCAAGAAAATTTTCTTGAGTTTCCCGCCACCGCCTTCTAGCCATGGTTGAAGATGAGTTTGTAAATCCTACTGCAACTCTATCTTCATCTTCTCCTACTCAGTCTCATCTGGACCAATACCTAAATTTCGTATTTTCTTCACCACTTTGATAATACTAACCTTGTTTTGGTTTCTGAATTACTCAATGATGAAAATTACACCTCGTGGAGTAGATCGATGACGATTGCTTTTACGGTGAAGAACAAATTCGGATTTGTTGATGGCTCGCTTCCGCGTCCTATTTCTTGGATCCTTTGAAAGGAGATTTCGGCTAGTGTTCTATTTGTTGGGAAATAAAGGACAAAATTGAACCGGGAGCTAAAAGCGTTGTGCCGTGGGCGGAACCACTACCTTGAAAGCAAAATCGGCACGACCTCGATGCTAAATCGTTTTGCTGCCGATATGCTCCCCAAGGTCCCAAAACAAAAATATTGTGTCATCCATGTGTCATTTGGACACATTGACTTCCACAACACAAGCTATGCATCCACATTTCCTTGAATTGTTCAAAACAATGCGTCATTCTCAACACTATTTGCCGATTCCACAAGAGATATTTGGCTTGATTTGCAAGAGCGCTTCCAAAAACAAAATCGTCCTCGGCTAGTCCAGCTTCGACGTGATATTTCTAATTTGACACAAGATCAACTTTCTGTAAGTGCATATTTCACGAAATTGAAAACTTTATGGGCTGAACTCTCTGCTTATCGCCCTAATTGTTCTTGTGGACGATGTACTTATGGAGCTATCAAATCTCTCATCGAATATTCCAGACGGACTACGTTATGTGCTTCCTTATTGGTCTTAATGATTGATTCAGCCAAATTCCTGCTCAGATGTTGTTGATGAAGCCACCTCCGACGATCAATCGGGCTTTCACTCTAGTTTCACAAGAAGTTCAACAGCGTGCTATCTCATCAATTTCTTCTCCCTTTGTGCCTTCGTCTGTACCGTCAGCTGCTTTTTTGGTTTGAGGATCTTCACAGAGTTCTAATTCCTCAAATTCTAATCAGAATCGCTCATCTTCTTCGAATCAGGGCAAACAAAAGGATAAATCTGTTTGTACTCATTGTGGTCTCTCAGGACACACCAGTGGACCGCTGTTACAAGCTCCATGATTATCCCCCTGGTTATCGCACCTCTGGTAATCGAACTAATCATCCACAGAAGACTTCTGTTAAGGCTACTGAGCCTCCATCCAAGCCTACTCCAAATGCTATTTCAGATTCTCTTTCGCATATTAGTGCTGATCAATGCCAAGGATTGTTAAATCTTCTTCAATCTCATTTGGCGAAAGTGAAAACTGAATCTGAACCAAGTACTTCACATGTTGTAGGTACATGTTTTTATGCTTTACAAAATTCTGGAATTTCTACTGATCAGTGGGTGATAGATTCTGGCGCTTCTACACACATTTGTTACTCTCGTGATTTATTTCTTGGTCTGAGATCAGTTTCTGGGGTTCATATTTCACTGCCTGATAATTCTCGAGTCAATGTTGAGTTTGTTGGTGATATACTAAAAAGTCCTTTTTGTTCCCCATTTTCGATTCGATCTGATCTCTGTTGGTGCTTTAATCAGGACTTCTTTACTAATTGTTCAATTTTCTGGTGATTCTTGTCTAATCCAGGATAAGTTTTCTTTGAAGACGATTGGCAAGGGTAACTATTGCGCGGACTTTATCTGTTCTCTACGGCCTCTGTTGTTCGCTGTTCTTCAAAGACTATGTATATGCTGTTGTTCATTTGTCTTCTGTTAATATTTGGCACAATAGACTTGGTCATCTATCTTTAAACATCTAAATGTTCTCAAAGATATTTTACATTTAGATTCATGTATAACTTCTTCTGATGACCCATGTTTGATATGTCCCTTAGCAAAACAACGTCGTTTATCTTTTACTTCAAATAACCACCTTACTGAATGTTCGTTTGATCTTGTACATTGTGATACCTGGGGTGCTATATCTATCTCCTATTCATAATGGGTATCGATATTTCCTTACTATCGTTGATGATTTCTCTCGTTTTACATGGATCTTTATGATGAGAAAGAAATCAGATGCTCTCATTATTGTGCCTCAGTTTTTTTCAGTATGTAGCAACCCAATTTGGAAAGGTTATTAAGCAATTTCGGTTGGATAACGCTCCTGAATTATCCTTTACTAAATATTTCCTTTCCAAGGGTGTCTTGTATCAATATTCTTGTGTAGAACGTCCTGAACAGAATTCGGTTGTAGAGTGAAAACATCAACACTTATTAAATGTTGCAAGATCTTTATATTTTCAGTCTCGCTTGCCTATTACTTTTTGGGGGGAGTGTGTTCTCACAGCTGCTTATTTGATTAATCAAACTCTGTCATCTATATTTGATTGGCAAACTCATTTCTCTTGTTTATATGGTAATGAAGCTGATTATAATGATTTGCGTACTTTTGGTTGTCTATGTTTCGCTTCTACAATGCTCTCTCATCGTTCTAAATTTCATCCCAGGGTTATACCTTATGTATTTGTTGGTTATCCTCTGGGAGTTAAAGGGTATCGATTATTTGATATTGAACACATAAAGTTTTTTCTTTCTCGGGATGTCGTTTTTCATGAGCAGATTTTCCCTTTTAGTTCAATATCATTGCCAACTGATTCTGTTGATCCATTCCCAGATTTTGTTTTGCCGAAAGCTTTTGATTTTGTTAGCAGTCCTTCTGGTGTATCTTCTTTGCCTCATAATGCTTCCAACTTGCATAGTCCTGCTGTGGATGTCACACCAACTAATGCATGGACTCATGATATGGCTTCTCCTATACATAATGCTACCACTGCTTATGTGGTAAATAATTCTAATTTTCCATCTTTCACTGCTGTTATTTTGCATGATGATCATGTTGTTGATGTTCCATTTGCTGCTATTGTTGAGAATTCTAATGTCCCATCTGCAGTCATTGAGAATTCTGTTGTACCATCTGCTGTTGATATTAAGACTTCTGTTGTGCCGTCTGTTGTTATGCCTGTTGATCCCTGGATTCAACAGTCAATTTCTGTTATTCCTTCAACATCTGTTCGCAGGTCACAGAGGGATTCTCGGCCCCCATCTTATCTTAAGGATTATCACTGTAATTTGCTTGCTTCTGCTGCTTTGCCCCCTTTTCAGTCTCGGTATCCTTTGCAGAAGGTTTTATCTTATGACAGATTATCGCCATCCTACAAGAATTTTATTCTGAATATATCCACTGATTTTGAGCGGCAATTCTATCATTAGGTCGTTCCATTCTCTTGTTGGCGTGACTCCATGCACAGTGAGTTACAAACCATGGAAGCCAACCACACTTGGTCTGTTGTTCCTTTGCCCTCTGGTCATCATTCCATCGGTTGTAAATGGATGTACAAAATCAAATACCATTCTGATGGTACTATTGATCGTTATAAAGCACGACTTGTTGCTCAAGGGTACACTCAACAGAAAGGCCTTGATTATATCGAGACTTTTTCACCATTTGCGAAGCTTGTTAGTGTTAAGGTTTTGCTCACAATAGTTGTATCCTTAAATTGGCCATTGGTGTAATTGGATGTCAACAACGCTTTTGTGAATGGCGATCTTTTCGAGGAGGTCTATATGGATTTGCCCCTTGGATATAAGAATAAGGCTGTTGCTTCTCAGGGGGAGCGTCTTGTATGCCGGCTTCACAAGTCCATTTATGGTCTCAAACAAGCATCCCGACAGTGGTTCGATAAGTTTTCACATAGCTTGTTACAGCTGGGTTTCAAGCAAACAAAATCAGATTATTCTTTGTTTGTAAAAAGGTCGGACTCCTTTTTGACACTTTTGGTTTATGTGGACAACATAATAATCACCGGTGCTTCTTCTACTGCTAGTGATGCTTTGAAAACTCACCTTCATGCTATTTTTAAGCTGAAGGATTTGGGTTCCTTGAAGTATTTTTTGGATTGGAATTGGTTTGTTCCCGCTTTCTCTTCTCTACTGTCCAAGATGGGAGTTTCAAATATTCTACTTCCATCTTGAGGGGGAGTATTAGGATTAGTTACATAGTTATTATTTTGTAACTAAACATTCTGCAATATTGCTCTATTTTGTATGACCTATATATATACCCACTTACTTTCATTAATGTTAAGACAAATATTAAGTTACTCTTAGATGTAATACTATTATATGCAATTTCCATCACAATATTTTGTTATTTTCCGCCAGTTAATTAAAAACGGCATGACATGTTATCGAATAAATTTTTAGTTGAATTTGGTAAGAGATGACAGAATAAATAAAGACAAATGTATAAAATTCAAAAGAAAATTCAAAATTTCATTTTTTCCCCAACTCTAACTTTTTGTGTGTGACTATTCTCTCTGGCATATATCTCTCTCTCGAATTTTTATGTGTCTACAAATTTCATCTCTTTATTACTTTTATTTTTCTTTTATTTTCTTAGATATATTTTGTTGGTGGTAAAATTAAGTATCGACAAGTGTACGTTTCTATTCAGTTTGGAGTCACCAGAAGGGATAAATCAGATCATCCGTACTCACCGACCTGACACCTGCCGAGCTAAGAAGGAGAATCAAGCTTCACCGACCTGAGTAATCCGACCTCAGGTTCGACCATCGACTTGGGAGCCAGACCGTCGGTCGGAACGGCTTCAACAGCTTTGTCCCTCTACCTGCCTATAAAAGGGACACTCCACTTAAGACAAGAAAGGAACTCGCCCCTTTGTTTTAAAGGGATAAGAGCATATTGCTGGATGATTCTCCACCTTTCTATCAGTTACAACATGAAGAACAGGTATGCAATTTTGTCTGAGAACGACCTACTACAGCTCGAGCTCACATTAACTTGGGCGTCAGTGTGTTTGTTCCTTGTGCAGGTCCCATTGTCTCAGAGATCGCACCTCAACAGCTCGCTTCAGTTAGCTCGTGACTAATCTGTGGAGCAATTCTGCATCAACATATTTCTTTATTTTCTCTCTTCAACCTTTAAATATTTTACCAAATTTTTTCCGCTCTAAAATTTCTCCTCCTTTTGTAGTTTAATTATTTTCTGACTAAAAATGGTTTGCATCGACTACCAACCATCTATGAAGTGTGATTGCGGTCACCCAATTTTAAAAACGTGTAAAAAAGTTTTGATTTAGGTGTAGAGAATTATTTTAACTGTTAACGTTTTATTAATTCAAATCGTAATAATTATGGGTGATACGAAGACCATTAAAAATTGAGAATTTATTTTAGATATTATAAAATAAATTTCTCACCTAAATAATATTTGGAAACTTAAGAGTATTAATTTTGTTGAAAACAAATTGGGGGGAGAGAAATACCCCGAATGTGCCGAGGATTATTTAAGTGCTCTCCCACACATTTTTCCTCAATTGTATACAGATTGATTCATTTACATGGAAAACTTCCAACAGGAGAAAAACCACGATCCTTCCAAAAGAAATCCACTTTGTAAAAAAATTATTACAATCGCACAAAATTTATACACTATACACTACATAACTGGAAATAAAAATTACAAAAATTTAGATGTTCCATAATCCCAAACTAAGCTGAATGATAAATAAGAATTAAACAGAATGACGACATGTCTATATCATGATTTAGGTGAAAGTGACAGTAACTTATCGTGTCGCTGGCTTCACCTTTCTCCATATCTAGGATGTTGTCTGACCTCCTACTTCCTTTAGGTTACATTACAAGTTATTACAAATTCAAAATGCTATTAAATATATGAAACCAATCAAAATATTTATATGTTGCAAAATGATAAAAATAAACAAATCTTTTGGAAATTGAAATTCTAGTTATATATTTATTAATAGAAATTTGGAAGATTAGAAGTGAAAAAATAGGTATAAAATTTAATTTAAAGCCTACATGCCTTTTTCATCTCATAAGTGACATAAATATAAATATAAAATACAAAATGGTCCAAAAATATTTTAAAGATGGTAGATTAAAAAAAATGACCAACGAATATTTTTTTTAACTCAAAGCACATTCTTCAAAGACAATCCAATCTCCACCCTCTCTTAAATTGTAATTCTAGAAAAATGAATATTTTTCTAATTAAATGCTTACGTGACATTTCTTTTAAGTTCAACCAATGTGATGTTAAGAGATTGAACATTCGATTTTAGGAGGGTAATACTATCTTATATATCTGTTAAGTTATAATACAATTGGTCATGACATGCCTATTCAACAAACGATGGAGATAAAAACGAGTAAAAATGACACAATAATAATAATAAATAAATAAATAAATAATAATCAATTTAATATTACTTGGACACATAATATTTATTTTAAACATTGGCTAAAAAAATAGATTACTTCATATCATTAAAATAACAATAATAATAAATAAATAATAATCCACTTAATATTACTTGGACACATAATATTTATTTTAAAATAATGAAATGTTTATTTATTAATTTAAATATTTTTATTAAATTTTTATATTTATTATTTTTTTCTTCAAAATATTGAAAAACTTGACATTTAAAACTTGAGATAATGTTTTCGGAGGGCTGTTTTTTAAACTTAATTTCACAAATGTCTAAAGTTTTCAAATTTTACACTTTTAGATTTCTACATGTAGGATTTTTTTATAATACCGATTTTACCCTTATTTATTACCTTTACTTTTATTATAGTTATTTTTTTTTGGAAATTTAAAAGATTTGAATCCCTAAATTGTAATCATATTCCTTTAATTATTGTGGGCCCCATACAAAATTTCAACGCTTGATTCACACTTCAAAAAAAATTTATTCCAATGATTTACCATTATTATTAATGGAAAAAATATCAAATTTCATCTTTCTTCGTGTGTAAATTCCCACCGGTTGTGGGAAGCCACCATCGGACGCATTTCAGATTTGATTCAATAGGTTCCTCTCCGTTCGAGCACTTTTTGCCCATATATCTCATATATCCCAATATATCCCTATACACAAAAAGGTAAAGAGTGCAAGACAACCATTATAAGATATATCCTCATATATCCCTACACACAAAAAGGGAAATGCACAAATTTGTTATGGTGCTTTGTATGCTAAGATCAAACTCACTATAAGATATATTCCCATATAACCCTATATATACAACTATTGGATACTACTTGGGTATGAAATTAACATTAGGATATATTGGAATATATACAAAAAATAAAGTACAAGAAAAGGGTTTAACAGTACAAAAAAAAAACAAGGTTTTCAACATTAGGATCTATTGGAATGCAAACTTTTTGATCGGGATAAACGGAGACGAACTGCTCCAGCGACGGAGAAAAACGGAGGTGGGGACTGGAGACGAAGAAGCGGACAAAAACGATATGATAGAACGGAAACAGACAGCTCGACTCAGCCTCATCATTGGGCTGGGCCGGGCCGGCCCAGCCCAAAGAAGTAATGGCCCAAGCTTGGCCCAGGCCCAAGCCCTACGGGCCTCAAGTATTGTTTGGGTCGGGCTTGGACCGACCCAACCACTCAAACCTAGGCTCATAGCCCAATCCATGGGCCTAAGTTGTTGAGCCAAAGTTGGATCGGACTTGGATCGGCCCTTTGGATCGGGCTTGGATCGGCCCGTATATTAATATATTTTTAATTATCAAATTTTAAAATTTAAATAATTTCCAAACTAAGTTTTTTATTTTTAAATTCTAGAATATGTGTTTTTATATAATTTTTGGTACATTTTTTTTGTTATTTTTATAATCTTACTAATAAATTTTATTATGTCATATTTTATAAATTCAAGTTGCCTTATTTTAAAAAATTATATTTTTTATTTTTAAAAATTAAATTTATATCTTTTTACCAGAGAAATTGAAAATTTAAACACTCCAAATTGGAACTTGAGAGGATTTGAGATTGAGAATTAGAATTAGAATTTGAGTGAAGAAAAAGAAAAGAATGTTGATATTTATAAGAAAATTTTGTATTAAAAAATTTTAAAAATTACAACCTAATATTAGATATATTTAAAATAATTTTAAATTTTGAATTTGGGAAGTTGGAGAGTTTCCTCGTAATATGTTTCAAAACAATGATTTAAATGAAATATTGGGAAGTGATAGAATCTCTTCGTAATATGTACTAGGGGAAACAAAAGATCCTATAGCCTACCATATCTAATTTATTTTTTATAATAAATAAATAATAAAAGAATATATTAATATTATATAATATAAATATTAATAAATATTGGATCGGGCTTTTGGGCCGGCCCTACGGGCCAATCCAAATACGACTCAAACGGGCTGGCCCACGGGCCGGCCCAAATTAAAAAATGAATATCCATATCCAATCCAATTAATAAAAGGGTTGGATTGGGCCGGACCGGTCAAACGTTGACCTTGGATCGAGCTTGGATCGGGCTTGGGCTGGGCATGGGCCGGCCTTTAGGCCTCGGGCCCGATGATGAGGCTGAAGCTCGACGATGGAAACAGACAACTCTGCGACGGATACGAAGCCTCTGATATAGATGAAGCAGACGAATGGTGGAGCAGACGAAATCGAGGTAAATCGTTGGAGAAGGCACAAGCAGTCGGAAGAATTTGGGGTTTTCGAATTTGGGGAATTTGAGGATATTTTTTGAGGTTTTCGAATTTGAGGGATTTGATGATATTTTTGAATGTTTTGATATTTTAGCTTCTTTTGAAAGGTTTCATTAAGCAAATATCATGAGATTCAAAATATAACCTTCGAATTAATGAATTTTGGAATTTAAAAATCAATTAATATTAATGTAAAGGATTGTTTTGTAATTTAAGTGAGGGTACCATCCTAGGTAAGTTTGTTTCATAACAAATATGTAAATTCCATATATTCCATCTTAAAACTTTTGTTTATGATCGAAACTTTTTCCATATTTTAACATATAATATTCATCTCCTTTTGACCCCTTTGAATCCTAGAAGAGAAATTAAAGAAAAAATTAAAAAAAAAAACTTCAAAGCAACGATGGTAGACATCAACAAACTACCAAGGGACAACGTTGGAGGATGTTTGCCGATCGAGCTGCCGCAATCTCGAGGATCTTGAAATCGATCCCCGATTATGAACATCATTGTAAAACGTTACTATTTTAATTAAATGGACGTATAGAACATTGAAACTTTTTCCTTTAATTCATCAACTAATTTTAACAAAAAAAAAATTACTAATTTAATTTAATGAAAATCAAGTTTTGTACGAATTAAATTTGATGAATATTAAAGTTACCAATTAAAAAAAAAAGTCTATGGCGAATCTTGTCAATTTCATATAATGTATATGTTTTATAATTATTTGATACATATGATTATATTTTTTTAACAAATTTTTAAATGAAAATTTATCAAAGTTGCAATACTTATTAAAGTTTAATGTGGAGATTGAATACAATCCAAGTCTAAAATGAAAATTAATAAAATTAAAAAATTTAGGTTAAAATTGATTGGTAAAAGTGATATATTTTTTTATTATATCTATACATTTGGGCCCTCTCTACATTAAAATTCTTTTATGATATATAATTTTTTCTAGTACAATATGTGGGGTGGGGGATTGAGCTCACAATCTCATTGTTAGGAGTATATGTCAATTACCGCTGAGCTTTGACATTCTTTTATGATATTAAATATTGGATCCACCGCATCGAAAAATATAGATTATTACATTATATTGAGGTCTACAACAAATATTTATTTTGGAACTATAAAAACAAATTTTCATTTTTATTTTATAATAATTATAAGTATTTCTTTTCTTTTTTTTTTCCTTTGAAAAATAATTATAGATCCAAGTGCCTCATTGATTTTTTTTTTTTTTTAATTACAAGTACATGATAATGGAAACTATAAAAGGAAGCCAAACGATTCGAAGCAATTAAAGAGGAAACTTCAAAAGGAACCTCCTCAAGTCAAATGCAATTCACCTGTGGAACAAACAGTTTAAGAGCTAATGCATTACCTTCATATGGATCTCAACAAGAAAACACATCACCTCAAACAGATTCTCAATATCTTGATTAAGGGACCGAAAACACCCTAAGGAGTCTGACTCTAGCATGATGGGCCCACAGCCCCCTCTCAAGCCAAATGGACACCACGAAGAAGCGCGAGCTGTCGTCAGATCAACCGAGGAATAGTGGAGAAGGAACATCGAAGTTGCTAGGAGAGAACGATGATTTTCGATATCACGAATGACCACACCAATCCCGCCACGAAGCGAACCCTTAAGAAAACCAACATTAGTATTCACCTTGAGAGCTGCTAGTGACATAAAAAACGATCACCAAAAGGAGAATCACATATAATTGGAAGCCCAATTTCGAGGAGGAACCAAGGGCTGCCCGCCTTTTTTTTTTTATCTTTTGCTTAATTTAATAACACAATCACGTATGATTAATATCACTTCATTATTATCCAACGCATAAACTATATACAACTATAATTTAAAAGATAAGAATAATTTAATTAGTTTTTTTTTTAACTTTAAAAGGTAAATAAGTACAATAAATTATGTATGCTAACATGAATTTAGCTCAGCGATTAAGACATTTACTCCTCCCCTCAAAATTTGAGGTTTGAACCTTTAAACTTTTTAAAAAATAACATTTAAGTTAAAATACTAGGCCATACATTTACACAAACCATCGATTTAATACATGTAAAAAATTAATTATATTCTCGAGCGATTTTTTTAGTACATCAATAAAACGAAAAAAGTAAAATGGACGAGTCTATAAAGGAGTTTCCTCCATCCACTCTTGGTTGTGCTGTTAAACTTTTCTCGAATGGAAAGCAAAGACATGTACATGAAATTCCGTTGGTCTTTCAATTCTAGATCGATAATCGATCTATATACGTTAACGAATTTTTTCACGGTAGACATTAAACGGTTAATTACTAAAATCAATCAATTAAACCATCATAAAATTTAAAAGGATTAAGTAATTATTTCAATGAAATTGCATCACCAAAGGCTTTATAAAAATGAATAAATAAAGTACTTAAAAGTAAGTGAAAGAAAAAAGAGAGAAAGTAAATAGAAAAGTAAAAAAAGGAAAAAAGGAACGTCTAAGAACAGGAGGAGCCCATCGTGTTCTTCGGTTCCTCCAGCCATCGCCGGGAGAGGAAAAATGGTCTTTGCTCTGCTCAGAATTTGAAGTTTCAGAAGCCTACGCCGGAGCTCAGGCCCTTCCGGAGGCCGTCGAGCTTCAAAAACCGTCGTTTATGGCCACCGCCGGCATGGGTACTTCACGCCCTTTGACTCTGTTGCTCCTTGTAATCTTCAACTTGCTTTCCAACACCATCACCGGCGGCGGCGGTGTCTCTGCTGAAAGCGGCGTGTTCAGCGTCAAATACAAGTATGCCGGCCGGGAGCGTTCTCTTAGTACCCTTAAGGCGCACGACATCAGCCGTCAGCTTCGATTTCTTGCCGGCGTCGATATCCCACTCGGTGGCTCCGGCCGACCTGATGCCGTCGGGTTAGTGATATATTTTTGAATTTCGTTCAGTATTGTGTGTGTTGATCGATTCTGCTGTGGTCTTAATTGAAGGGTTCACTTCTTTTCCAGGCTTTACTATGCAAAAATTGGAATTGGAACTCCTCCCAAGGACTATTATGTTCAAGTTGATACAGGGAGTGACATCGTGTGGGTGAATTGTATTCAGTGTATGGAGTGTCCGAGGAAAAGCACTCTTGGGGTATTGTTTCAGTAAATGTCTTCTTATTTTCAGTCTCTATGGTTGGTTTTTGATTGGTATTGCGATGGGGTTAATTGGAGTGGTTTGAATTTGGCATCAGATGGAGCTCACTCCGTATAATATAGAGGAATCCACAACTGGGAAATTGGTTTCCTGCGATGAACAATTTTGCTTGGAGGTGAATGGGGGTCCACTTTCAGGCTGCACTGGTAATATGTCCTGTCCATACCTTCAGATATACGGCGACGGGAGCTCAACTGCTGGATACTTCATCAAGGACTACGTACAATATGATCGGGTTTCTGGAGACCTTGAAACTACAGCTGCTAATGGAAGTATCAAGTTTGGGTGAGTTTTTTTTTTAACCTACGTACTATTATGTACTCTGTAGCCCCAATATAGGGAATGATGATCAAGGACGGTGGCATATAATATAGAAAGAAGAAGCTTCAGGGAGATCACCTTGCAAAACTTTGTCCCTTGCAAAACTCAAAAGGATAGGAGCCTTTATGTAGAGAACAAAGTTTTTGGAATAGATATCCAAGGGGAGTGCAAACTGTCCCTTTACCTACGAGTTTGAGCTCTAACCATGCTTTTCAAGCCATAGTACTAGTAGTAAGTGGAATGACAAAAGAGAATTAGGCACAATTGTAAATCTCCGCAACCAATTATTAAGTAATGGAGCTTCCTTTCTCCCCACCCCCCACCACCTTACTTGAAGCCTCCCTAAGAGTTGTGCGAAGAAGAGTCTTCCAATTAACCATATGACATCTGCCTTCAACCGTCCAAAATGGTAATTAGCTCTTTGTTGGCATTTCATTTTGGTCATTTTATCCAATCTAATGCAAAAGCACCAGAGTCTCTATTCTTGAGGTTTATAATAGTGTATGTATGGAAGGGAAACTTTCTTGCCGAGGTGACTGGAGACAAATTTATTGTATGATGAAGGTATTCGAGGAACTACCGATGGAATATACCTTCCATTAGCCATTTATCTAAATCTTCCTCTAGTGCATTCTTGCGCTGAAAAGGATCATGCCTAATGAAAGTACCAGACTAGAAGGTGGAGGGTTTGGATCTAGAGGAAGAGAGCCCTCGTTAAAGGCACAATTATTAGAGCTGGTCTTTATTTGGTTATCCTCGAAGATTCAAAGTTGCACAATGTGGACGAGAGGCTGGTCAGATTGATTTGGGGTTTCTACCACAGTGCTTGAATGGCCTCTGAGTACGTAGCTTCAAGAGATATATGTTGGTTTTATGGGGTGGCCCTTATTTTAATGTCCTTGTTGCTATGGATGGTTCTTTTTCTTTTTCTTAAAGTAAAAATTTGATAAATGTACTACTGGTACCCATTGGTATTCCTGTGAGGAATAAAATGTGTCATTTTACTGAATCAACTTCAATGACAAAAATGAAATTGTTTCATAGGGTTTTAAGTAAACCCAACACAAAGTAAATCGTGAGATCCTCCCAAATATCTTTTGGTATTGGTAAATGTGTACATAATCTAGTGTTCTAAACCTCTTTTGTACACCTGACATATAGGACGTTCCTTCACAAAATGCGCATCTTTTCTTAACTGAAACCAATAAAATCGAGAACTAATCTGGTCCAGTGTTTTATAACGGCTAAAGTGTTCCGTCCTCTAAGTTCTCTGGCATAAATGTCCATTAAAGTTTTCTGTCCAAGGAATGTATGGGCGCCGTGCATAATTTATTGTCCTTATACACAAAAATCCATCTTTCACGCTACATCTTCTTAAAATCCTTCATTTTTTTCACTTATCTAAAATGCTGGCAAAATCTTCATCAAAATTAACCCCTAACTTTCCTACATCAATAGGTAAATCATCCAATGAAGTATCATTTATATCACCCACATTTGCCGTCTCATATTGAATCAAATGGTTGAAAAGTGAGTAAATTAGAGCTCTATTGCGATTAGGGGAAAATAAACCGACTGTTGGAAGTTATTAAACTTGGATTAGTAGTTAGTAATTTTCTTGGGGTCAAAGTAGTGCAAGTCGTTGTACCAGTGGTTGGCCTGCTGGATGGCAGCTATATTCACTGGTTTCAGGCATATAGCTCCCGATACCACCTGATAGTTCTAGATTTGTTATCCCATTCAAAATCCAATGGCGGGTGTTTAGTCCATAAAAGACACTATTGGCATAATTGCAGTAAATAACTCCCGTGCAGTAAATATTATTAAATTTCTTGCTTGCTCTCTTTCTTCTTCTCCCCTTCTTTATTATTTATTATTTATTATTTTTAAATATATATATATATATTTTTTTTCCATAATGATGTTCACTTTTTTATGATGGAAAGTGGTTGATAACATTTGATTGGTTGCTTGATGACTGTCTTTTAATTTAGCTTTGGTGGGTATTTTTCTATGTCACTAGTTTTTAAGGAAGCTTAGCTCACGTGGATTGGAACTTTTTAGATAAGATTTTTGGGAAGAAAGGTTTTGGGTATAAATGGAGGGCTTGGATTTGGAGTTGTATTAGGACGGTTAATTACTGGTGAATGGGAGACCTAGAGGTAAAATCTTCGCTTCTAGAGGCCTTCGTCAGAGGGATCCCTTGTCTCCTTTCCTGTTTATTTTGGTGGTGGACATTCTTAGCTGGTTAGTCTCCGTTGGGGTCGAGAAAGGGAGTCTGAGAGCCTTTGAAGTGGGTAGGGAGAAAGTGACCCTCTCTCACCTTCAGTTTGCAGATGATACTGTCTTTTTCTGTTCTGGTAAGGACAATGCTTTCAATAATCTTAACTGCCTCCTTGGTTTTTTTGAAGCTCTTTTTGGCCTTAAGATTAATCGAGGCAAAAGCTCTCTTTTGGGGTGAATTGTGACGTGGGTAAGCTTAGAGAGTGGGCTTCCCTGGTTGGGTGCGAAGTTGGTGAGTTTCCTTCCTCCTATCTTGGTCTTCCTTTAGGTCATAATCCTAGGAGTGCCTTTCTTCTTGGAAGAAAGCGTATTTTTCTAAAGGAGGGAGACTTACATTAATTCAATCTATTTTGAGGGGAATTCCGTCTTACTTTATGTTTCTATTTAAGATCCCGGTGGCTGTTATTGAGGGTCTAGAAAAGATCATGAGGGATTTTATTTGGGAGGGAGTAGAGGAGGGGGGTGGTACTCATCTAGTCAATTGGAAGGTGGTTACAAAGCCTCTAGATGCGGGGGGTTTGGGCATTGGAAACTTGAGGCTTAGTAATGAGGCTTTTCTAGCTAAATGGTTATGGCGCTTCTTCTATGAACCTAGGGCCCTGTGGTGAAGGGTCATTGTGAGTAAATACGGGCCTCACCCGTTTGACTGGGTCCTTGCAGGTGGTCTTAAGGTGAGCAATAACAATCCTTGGAAGGCTATCGCTTCGTGTTTCCCTACTTTTACTCGTTCTCTTCGTGCTGTTGTGGGGGATGGTCAAAATACTTATTTCTGGGAGGATTCGTGGGTTGGTGATAAACCTTTGTGCCTTGCTTTCCCTCGGCTTTATTTGCTATCTGAAAATAGGCTTCTTTCGGTGGCCAAGATTTTGAATCCTGGGGGGGAGGTTAATTCCATTTCTTTGGGCCTCTCTCATCCTTTGACGGATCAGGAATCTTTAGAGGTGTCCGAGTTGTTAGTGTTGTTGTCTGAGGTGTCTTTATTTGCTGGGAGGGAGGATGTGAGGGTGTGGTCCCCCAACCCCTCGATAGGTTTTTCTTGTAAATCTTATTTCGATATTTTGATTTCCCCTTCTCCTTCTTCCCCTTCGACCTGTTGGTTCAACTCTCTTTGGAAGATTAAGATTCTGAAGAAGATTAAATTCTTTGGGTGGCAAGTTTTACTTGGGAAAGTCAATACTTTAGATCGTATCCAAAGGATGTTTTCCTTTTGTCTGGGTGCGCAGTGATGCGTTCTTTGTAGGAATGCCTCTGAAGATTTGGAGCACTTGTTATGGAGTTGTCAGTTCGCTCAGGATGTTTGGCTCCATTTCTTTTATTGCTTTGGCTTGTCTTGGGCCCGTTCCAGAGATTGTAGGGGATGATGGGGGAGGTGCTGTTACACCCCCCTTTTCGTGACAGGGGTCGTTTTTTGTGGCAGGCCTGTTTTCGGGCTGCTATTTGGGGGATTTGGTTTGAGAGAAATAATAGGCTGTTTAGGGAGGTGGAGAAATATGTTGATTATGTTTGGGATCTCATTAGATTTAATACTTTTTTATGGGGCTCTGTTTCTAAGGCCTTTTGTAATTATCCGTTAGGTCTCATTCTTTTGGATTGGTGTCCGTTTCTATAAGGGACTCCTCTCGGGGTTGGTTTTTTGTAGGCCCCTTTGGTTTCTTTTGTTTCTCTTTTCATTCTTCTCAATGAAAGTATCGTTTCTTATCCAAAAAAAAAAAAAAAAGCTTGGCTCATCTATTTGAAGCTTGAATTTTTCTAGTGAGAAAACTCTTGACTTATTTAGGTTGCACTTATCTACTGTTAGAAGATGATTGAACGAATTCTGATTGTAACTATTATCGTCTAAGAGATGAAAATTGCCACTTTGTAGCTTTTGTTAACATGGACTTATAAGTTCATCCTCCTGTTAATTTCATAATTATCCCACTCAGAACAATTTCATTTAAATTATTTGGTTCTTATGATTATTAAAATTTAAAATTTATTTATTTACTATTATCATTTGGTAGATGTGGTGCCCGACAATCTGGGGATCTAGGCTCATCCGGCGAAGAAGCACTTGATGGCATACTTGGATTTGGGAAATCAAATTCATCTATTATTTCACAACTAGCCTCCTCTAGAAAAGTGAAAAAGATGTTTGCTCATTGCCTAGATGGAATAAATGGCGGTGGTATCTTTGCAATGGGACATGTTGTTCAGCCAAAAGTTAACATGACTCCGTTGGTACCAAATCAGTATGCAATGTGCTCTGTAGCTCTTAATTGTTGTTTTCTAACAAACTTTTGCATTTCATCATTTTCCTATCTGTATAATTTAGCTGGTTTCCCTTCATTAACTTGTTGGTTTTACTTCTGCGAGTTCTAAAAATAAAAAATAAGAAAGATATAATATGTTGTTCTAATGAAGTATAATAGCTATTAAAATCTAACCCAAAACTATGGTTCAGTGAAGTCAATAATTAGTTTTTTTTTTCTTTTTTTTTTTGGTTGAGTGCTTTCAATAAATTCTTTAAAGAACACATAAAAATTGACTATTTATGGTTTAGAACTATTAACTTTTTGCACTACTTGAGAATTTATGTCATATTTTGACTCTCTTCTTTTTATTATATATGTGATTTATCTCTTATTAATACCCCGTAATTAAAATTTAGGCCACATTACAATGTCAATATGACGGGAGTACAAGTTGGTCGTGTCATGTTAAATATTTCGGCTGATGTATTTGAGGCAGGAGACAGAAAAGGGACAATCATTGATATTGGTACAACTTTGGCATATCTTCCAGAATTGATTTACGGACCATTAGTAACCATGGTACATGATAATGCAAGAGCTCTATCCATTGGAGAACTTTATTACAAATGAATATAGCTGATCCTCTTGATTTTGGTCTTGTAGATAATCTCACGGCAACCTAATTTGGAAGTTCAAACCATTCATGGAGAGTATAAATGTTTTCAGTACTCAGAAAGGTATGTAGCACTCTGACTTTGATTACCTGTCGTTGTAATTTATATGACTGTCTTTTTGTGAAATTACGTTCCGGCCGAGCCAGAAGATTGGCTTGATTGGTCTATACTTTTGTAAGAAATCCAAATAAAATCCTAGAGCTAGAGCCTAGAAACGATCCAGCAAGATAGACCTCTACTTGTAATTGGGCATAGAATAGATGCTCCATCATTGTTTACTTGTTCATTTGAGATACTGAGGCCAAGAATCATAGATAAAAGTAGTTGATCTTGTTCTATGCAATTGTTCTCCTGATATGTCTGATTATTTTTACTGGAAAAGTTTGCCTGATAAAATTTTTCTGCTCCATTTTTTAGTGTCAGAAAAGATGTTAAATCCTTTTTGTTTCATTAAGATAGATATGGAGAGGTTTAAGTTGTTCTATATTGTATTTGACCTGCGGCTTCATTTAATATATTTTGATTTATTTGCAGTGTCGATGATGGATTTCCTCCAGTTATTTTCCATTTCGAGAATTCACTCTTGTTGAAGGTTTACCCTCATGAGTATCTATTCCAATATGTAAGTTTGCTGGACTGAGATTGTGTGTGCACTAACCCTTGAGCTTGCTGCAGGAATGGGTGATTTTTAAAATTTCAACGTCTAAGATTAGGCTGCGCTTGTTAATTGCTTACGTTCACAGTACTTCTAGATTCATAATGTATTAACGTTTTAAGATCCAATTGAATGTTTTCGGACTGCAATATTTCAACTTAGGACTTGACACTGTTCATAATCAATTTGTGCTTTTGTCCTTTGGATGGGAAATTTTCCCCTCTTTTGTAATTTTATACTACTAATGAAATTGTTTATCCAAATAAAAAAAAAGTGTTGTCTTGTTCTCATCTCATGAGATTTAGATGAGATTTCCAAACATGAATTTAATACCTAGTGAAGTACTTGGGATTATAGTCACTATTTTCCCTAACATTCATGATTAAGTTTGACGATTAAATTTATTATACTATTGAAAATCAAATGAAATGACATTGTGAGCAAAACAACCTTGATGGGCCAGTTCTTTATTTTGTTGATAAGAAACGACAAATTGTAGTCCACAAAACAAAGGAACAGCCTAAGGGCTGGGGCAGAGAATCCCCACCCAAGAGCTACCTTTACAAAAGGATCGCCTCCTAATTGTATCTTAAGAGGACAAGCCAGTTCTTTTTTTTTTCTCGAAATCCGTGTGTCCAGGCCAGCTTGGACGCACCTTGACTATCACGGGTCAACCGCCCGACCCTACTATATTTGGTTGACAAGGTAACTCGTAGGATATTAAATCCTAGGTAGGTGGTCACCATGGTTTGAACTCATTCCCTCTAAATCCTTTGCTATTTACATTGGCCCTTATTGACCACTTGAGCTATCTCATGATGGTTAGACGGGCCAGTTCTTTATAATCTAACTTTGTAGACCAGATAGACATTTTTATTTATTAGTATTATTCTTTTGTAGCTTTCTATTTTAGTTTCATTCAATGTAGTTCCTGCATATATATATATATGATCAATAGTCTAGTCGGCTTGCGAAAGACGATTGTGTTTACATGCTTCATCAGACCTTACAATTAGCCTTATCTGCTCTGAAACATATTTGATGCTTTTGCACCCTGAAAGGTTTTGATGCTTTTGCACCCAAACGATTTCCATAGCAGAGTTTAGCCTGTGTACTGAAATTTTGTTTTCTAATCAGTTTATTTCTCTCCTTGGGGTAGATGCATGAGTTGGTTTACTAATATATACTTCTACAGGAGGGCTTGTGGTGTATGGGTTGGCAAAACAGTGGGATGCAATCTAGGGATAGGAAGAACGTTACCCTCTTTGGAGGTAAACTGCTAAACTCCAAATTTCTTCCATGTGAATATTAATTCATGTCTAAGAATTCTAATTCTGCTGCTATTGGGAAGAAGGCTGCTAACTATTGTTGTATTCATGATTCCTCACCTTTCTGTTGATCGTAGGACCACGAGTTGTGTATTCAGGCAGTTTGCTTTTGAGAGCTCTTTATTACTGAATATTTTATGGGTTAAAAATCATGCCACAAAAAAACTAAACTAAAGGCTCGCATGATAACCATGTTTTAAGTGACGTACTTTTTAAAATTAAGCTTATAAACACTATTTCCACCCATTTACTTTTTTGTTTTGTAAACTAATAGTAGTTTTCTTTAAAATTAAGCTTATAAACACTATTTCCACCTATTTACTTTTTTGTTTCGTAAACTAATAGTAGTTTTCAAAAACTAGTTTTTGTTTATAAAATTTGACTAAGAATTCAAATGTACTTGTAAGAAACCGTGAAAAACCTACCAAAGAAATTGAGAAGAAGTAGGTATAATTGGGGGTGTGATCATCGGCCGGTTGGATTTGGTTTTTGGCCAAAATCGACTATTTTACTTCTCTTCTTTGTACCGAGCGACCGATCGATCGGTTCAGTCGGTTGGTCTTTTGGTTTAAAGTTTTTTTTTTTTTTTAATTTTTATAATTATTGTTATTATTAGAATGTTTAAGAGCATGAAAAAGAATGCTAAAAAACTTGTAAAATAACTAAAAAAAGAACAAAAAATGAGTCGAGGAAGAACGTAAGGAAAAGTCTTACTATGGCATCTAACGTGAATGAATGGGGAGAAAGAAGAAAGGGGATGAAAAGAAAACCTTTCAAGAAAGATTGGAAAAAAAATAATTAAAAAGGAAAACGTTGAAAACGAATAAAAAAAAATTAAAAGAAAGGGGATGAAGAAAACCCTTCGAGAAAGATTGGAAAAAATTAATTAAAAGGGAAAACATTGAAAACGAATAAAAAAAAAATAAAAGAAACATTGAAAACCATGGCTGTTGGTTTTCAAGGTTGCTGCAGTTTGCATAGTATTCATTTTTTAAAAATAAAATATTAAATTTTTTTAACAAATTATTGGAAGTCGGTCAGTTGTCGGAAATTACTTTTATGACCAGATCAACCGACTGATGAGTCAGTTTCGTAAATTACAAAACCGACTCCGACCACAATCATGATTAAACCGATCAACTGATGTCGGTTCGGTTGGTTTTGATCGGTCGGATCGGTTTTTTGAAGTTCTTTCCTCACCCTAGGCACAATTTTTAGAAACAAATAACTAAAAATGGGGCCTGAGTGATGGTTTGGTACTATGCCTTTTTCTTGCTATGTTGCTATGATGAATGATGACATATTTCATTTTTTGAGAATATAAGAATATAGAGTGGAGATTTGAACCAGGAAAATTATTTAATGTATCTCCTTTGCTTGCAGATCTAGTGCTATCAAATAAGCTAGTTTTATATGATCTTGAAAACCAGACAATCGGGTGGACCGAGTACAACTGTGAGTATAAAGTTTTTGCTTTACTGTCTTTGAAGTTTAATATCTCTGAATGTCGTTAGTATTACATGTTTTGCTGCACATTTTTTCCCGACATTTACTGTATTTTGTCTCAACTTCGGTGTTTTTTTTTCATTGTTTTTTTTTACGAGAAAGAAAACTTTCCAATAACAAATCAAAGAATACAAGAGGGAAATACTGACGATTTTTTATTATTTTTTACCCTAGCCTCATTATGGAAGATTTTGATAAAATCCAATTGCACGAACACAAACACATGCATACAGGCTAGGTTTGATCTCGCTAGATTGTAGCCCATTCTTTCAGTTTGGCTC